CCTCCTGGCCACTCACCTCTGATGAGGCTGAAGATACGTTGCTGGAGCTGCTGGGCTTTAAGCCTGGAGCAAGAATCCCCTTCTCTTCTCCCCCACCCCCTGCACCTATCCTATATGGAAGATATTGAGTTAGTTTTGCTGTTGCTGACTATGTCCTCCATGCTTCCTAAATGAAGTAGATCAAATGGGAAATGGATGGTGTGTGTATGTGTGAAATTAAGCCTCCTTCCTATAAAATCTTTCTTTTAAGGTGTCCAGGGATGCTACTATGGTGTCAAGGGATGTTATTTGTGTTTCTATGGTATCAACTCTTTCAAACAGGGCAATATATTTGTCCAGTTTGGGTCTGCATTATGGGCAGAAATATTTCAATGCATGGTTGGATGATTCCAGGAACTGAGTCATTTGCTTGGGTAATCCTTAGCAGCCATGGTGAGCGTAGTTGTTACATAGAGAACATTTGGTGGAATTTTCATTATCCTTTAAAGTTTGATTGCATATAAGGCATGTGCAGGAGTCTTGTCGCTCATTGGTGGGGATTTCTTTCTCTTTGGGTTGTGGTTTAGCATTGGATTTTTTTCCTGGCATGGTAGGTTTGTTGAGATAGTACGTTGATTAAATTGCTTAATGAAACAAAATATTTGGATAATCAATATAGTCAATATTACACCAATTAATCAATTACAATATTCTCTCTAGTCAAATAATTTTGCTAAGCAACAATCAGCTTGATCAATTAATTACACTAATCACTAATCACACTGGTCAATTAAATTCACTAAATCACTAATTTTACTAATCAATTAAATTACATGAATCCTGATTTTTACACTAATCAGTAATCACACTATTTGAACTAAACATTCTAATCACACTAATCAATCAAAACAATAAATCAATTAATCAATTGATAAATTAATTATTATATAGAAATTGATTATCTAGTCATTGATATAGGTCATGAGGTAGAAAAGTTATAAGTTTTAAGGTAATAAAGTAATCAGTGTTTAAGTATTAAAGTAGTGAAGTAGTATTGAGAGTCAGCAAGCAAAGGGTTATTGTTTTGCTAGCAGCTACTATCTGATCCATTGGATGGGAGGGATTTATTGCTTTGATGGCCGCTGTTATCTGATCTGGTGAGACACCTTTGTAAAAGCTTTAGGTCTGGAACAGGCTGTAACAGGATGTCTAAAAACATGCTGAATTATTGAAACAGAGTAAAATACGCTGAATTACTGAAACATGCTGACTCCGTTCAGGGAATCCTGTTTGGGGAACCCTAGCTGCTGACTCTGTTCACAGCACCCAAGGAATCTTAGGAGTGGAAAACTCCTGAAAGCCACATGGTTTCTTTTGTTTTAATGGCTACTAAAAGTAATTGTTACTTGGTTTGGCAAGGTAGAGAATTGTAAGAATTATTTTCTAGCATTTATTTATTTAGCATTATTTTTGTGCACTCCATGAAGGAATGATCCCCTTCCTTGGCTGTTTATTTACAGTTTCTTCTCTTTTTCATTTATAGATTTGTTATTAATGGCATTTCCTATTTCATACTAATACACCCCATTTGTCTGCTAACATATTTCATGGAGAATAAACTACTGTTTGCACAAATCTATAATTACCTTAAATGTCAGTGAATATCATTTAAGATATACAAAAATGCAACTGTCTTAAATTAGAGTTTATTAAAAACAGCAGTTATTCTAGTCTCAATACATTGCTTTTTTCTGTAATGTAAGGAAAGAGACTAATAATCCCTTTGTAGAAGATTATAATGCTAGAACCCTTCTACAATTCAATCCACCTCTAAACAGATGGATTATAAGGAGTGCCTTGAAAATTATTACCACTATAATAATATCTCTTTATAATCAGAGATTATTCACCACAGTTATCCTAACTGCAAAGTCAGTGATGATAATATCTGGATTTGATCCTGGAAAAATAATATAAAACAAATCCAAATGCTGAGTATTAATTATGAATGTGCCATTCTTTTTTAATAAACCATCATTTCAAACAATTCAATCCTTATAAGTCAGAGGGGGATCATTTCACTTTTTTGTTTTGAGAGATTATTAGTCTTTCAGCTTTGGAAAAACTGCCACAATTCCAAGCTGTGGTTCATCTCAGCCAGTAGGGCAAAGTAATAGTCTCTAAAATGTTCCTCTGTTGAGCTATTTAGAAATATTATTGACTTTCAACTCAATAGAAGGAATCATTTCGTATGAGCTCTGTTTTTGTAAAATGAACAGTGTCCCAAATGAATGTGTGGGGGCACACATTTAGGTCAAAATTAAGTACTCTTAACACCAAGCAGCTTGATTCTCTGTGCTGCCAGAAGGAACAATAATTGGATCATTAGATGCTAATGCAGACCAGAATGCACTTTATCATCTCCTTGAATCCAATCCTTTGACATAGAATTCTGTCTTGGTATTACACTTACTGTATCTAATCAAATGACTTTATTGAAAGTTAGGTTCTCATCTTCATCATTAATGCTTGTTCCTCATTCTTTTTTCTTCAAAATACAAAGCTGAAGAGTGCTAATAATGAAAAAAAAAACAACCAGAAGTACTGTGTCAAAAAATATTGTGCCACCCACACTGCATGTCCCAATTGTCAAAGATGCTTCTCTGTGATCTTCAAAGGATGTTTTAAAAATGCAGTTTTCCATCATAAAAAAACTATTCCTAGAGATTTGTTAAAAGAAAAAAATCCCAAAATATTTGTATAAGTGGGATTAGCTGCCAAAGATCGGCCCAGGGTGACCCTCAGATCCCCAAGGAATACTGGGACTTATGTGATGTCTTCAGTGAGAAGGAGTCAGTGTTACTGGAGCTTCTGCCACACTTAAGGCAAATTAATCTGCTTATAATTTCTTTCAAGATCATTGTATCTTCTCCAGGAACAGAATAAATTTAAGCCAAAGTAAGTATATTGATCAATAACAGATTAACTAATATGATATAAGTATACTATAATCATTATATAGGAAATGGTTTGCCATCAAGATATAAAAAAGAACATTAACTTTTTCGTGTATGGAGATTCTTCATTAGCATATCGCAGTTAAAGAATTATGTGCTTAGAAGCAAATCTAAACAGGAAAAATTATTAATTCTAAAAGAAAATTTGTGAAATTCAAAAATGTAAGAGATAAAAATAATGTTCTGTTAACTAACATAACACAAAAAGCAAATTGTGTGTTCCAGTTAAGACCTCAAAACCTTTACTATAAATCACTAAGAATATTGATAAATTTGAATCCATCACAATATTTGAAGATTATATTATTTATCATGTGACAAAACAGAGACTAAAATATTAAGCTTTGAACAATGCTTTCTCTAGACTTATTGAAATGACAAGTTATTGTCTTCCAATGAACAAATGGAAGAAGCTCCAAGAAGCTGGACCATTCATTCTGTCTATACTTATTATTTACCCACTTTCCCCTGGAACATACATGGAATATAATTTGTTTTTTTCTTAAGTCAGCAATGACACCAACAAACCTTCAAAATGGAATAATTTGAATTAAAGTTATTATATATTTTTTCAAGTACGTCCCAGGTTCTATGGAGTTTTCCTCACATCTTCCTAAATAGTACAACGGTGTCACATAACCATTTTTCTATGCTACAGACCTCATGCCATAGCTTTTCTGTCAACTCCAGCCCACATTGGAAGCAGTTTAAAATTGTCTTCAGATGTTATTATTTCAAAATCAATAAATTTTGAATGGCTACAGTGAAGCATATTGCATCAAGAATATGGTTAATGAAACAGAAGCTGGGATCTCTTCAGCTTCTATTGATTACAGTACTTGAAGCTACTGCTGTATGATCTTGTTCTCTTTAATCCCTAGTCACTGTCTTATGACTTGGGACATCTAGTTTGTTCTCAGCTTTTTGATTTATTCCAAATGAGGTAACCAAAACCATTAATATTGCCTTTATTATAAGATTATAGTAACAGAATCTTGTCTGAAAACATTTTGCCTTTCCCCACTTTTACATACCAGAAAACTAGGGAGGATTGACTCTGAGATGTTTTCTACACCCCCTTGCCTGTTTGAATTCAGATGTCTCCTATCTTTATCTAGGCTGCAGCTCTTCCTCCTGTCTCTCAAGTTTATTTTCACCATCCACTATCCACCTAGACATCTGCCCACATAACACCTGAACAACCCTTTCTTAAGTTCTTTTGAAGGCTCTTTGCAGACCCTTGAAAGAATGCTAGATCTGTGCTTAAAAATGGAACTCCATGCTCCTGAAATCACAGCTACTTGAATAAACATCTCAGACTAGCCCCTAGTTCAAATAAACACTACACCACTTGATCAGGGCAAAGCAATAGATGCAATCTACATAGACTTCTGTAAAGCCTTTGATTCAGTGGTACACAACAAACTACTCCTAAAACTAAAATCTTATGCTATCTCTGGACACCTTCCTTACATGGATAGAAGCATTCAAACGGACAACAAATGGTCAAAATTGGGAGTGTCCTATCAAATTCTGTACCTGTCAACAGTGGTGTCCCCCAAGGCAGTGTTTTAGGACCAACTCTCTTCATACTCTATGACCTCTGTGATCATATTAAGAGCAACTATGTTCTCTTCAGTGACAATGTAAAGCTATTCAACACCACAGACAATACTGCTACCCTTCAAAAAGACCTTGACTATGTATCAGAATGGTCAAACAAATGGCAACTTCAAATCTCAACAAATAAATGCTCTGTCTTACATATTGACAAAAAAAATCAGAAAATAAAATACAGGCTGAATAGTCAAGACCTTGTTGATGATCTCTGTCAAGGATCTTGGAGAACTCATTTCTAATGATCTAAGTGCTAGAGCCCATGGTAACTACATAGCCAAAAAGGCATTAAGAGTTGTTAACCTAATCTTACGTACCTTTTTCTCTAGTAATATTACACTACTAACTAAAGCATACAAAACATTTGCTAGACCAATACTCGAATACAGCTCATCAGTCTGGAACCCACATTACATATCTGATATTAACACAGTTGAGAAAGTCCAGAAATATTTCACAAGAAGAGTTCTCCGCTCCTCTACTTGTTGCAGAATACCTTATGCCACCAGACTTGAAATTCTAGACCTAGAAAACCTAGAACTACGCTGCCTTCGGTCCGATCTAAGTATAGTATAAAAAATCATACATTGCAATGTCCTACCTGTCAATGAATACTTCAGCTTCAACCATAACAACACAAGAGCAAACAATAGATACAAACTCAAGGTTAATCGCACCAAACTTGACTGCAGGAAATACGACTTCAGCAACAGAGTGGTCAATGTCTGGAGTACTCTACCAGACTCTGTGGTTTCTTCATCAAACCCCAAAAACTTTAACCTTAGACTTTCTACTATTGACCTCACCCCTTTCCTAAGAGGTCTGTAGGGAGCATGCATAAGCGCACCAACATGCCTACCATCCCTGTCCTATTGTTTCTTTTATTTTTCTTATATGTATCCATGTATTCATTACTATGTTTTTACTTATACCTATTATCTTGTAAGCAATCGACAAACCAAATAAAATAAAATAAAATAAAAATAAAAGGGAGAGAAGGGGAAGCACATTCATTCTTGTTCTTATAGCTATTCCTATACATCGCTACTATAGTTGTTAAAATAAAAATAGTCCTGACCTACATGGCACTGGTTTCTTAGTCTGGTCTACCTTGTACAGCTGACATCTACATTCCCAAAAACCATTCCATCATATATAAACCAGTGGGATCGATCATTTTTCTTAATGGCAGATGAATTGTAGTGGGAGGAAAATGAAGCTAGGGAATCCATAGACAGCTTTCCTTTACTTATTCCACATTAAAACATTAAGAACAATTCCACTAGCTAGCTTCCTTACTGAGGCAGAAGAGGGATTGTCTAATTTATGCCAGCATAGTTTTCTATCAGCTGGAGGATTGATGGATTATAGTTATTGTCCTGACTACTGTTGGTTGTCAGGTACCTTTAATTCTTCTTTGCATTGAATTAATATAGCTCCTGATATGTATCCTGACAATTTTCCTGCTTTTAATGCCTCTGATCAATCTAATACAGGATCGGTATGTGCTGGTTGGCAGCTTAAGAATCCTAATATGTGGTTCTTTTTTGATAAATATGCCACTAAGGTTCATCCTCAGAATTATCAATGTGCAACTATAGGTTATTTTACTCTACCTGTTCAAATAGGTACTCTCCCATCAACTCGACAGCAGTGTTCCTCTCTGGGGCCTACATGTAATGATGAAGTCATTATTGACACACAATTGTCTTCTGGTTCTACATTTGGCCGTGCATTGGCAGGGGTCATTACAGGAGTCCTTACTCTAGGCTCTTATCCTGGCATAATTACTCAAGAAAACAGACAATCTATTCTTGGTCTCACCTGCACACTTGAAAAATCCATCAATGCTACCGCTGCTATTATTCGTGATTTGCAGCATGAAATAGAAGACTTAAATCAAGATGTCTTACAGCAGCACTTTGCCATAGACTATCTTTTAGCCCGTCAGGGAGGGTTTTGTACGTTAGTTGGACACTGTGGATGTGCTGTGCATTTTCATTCTTTGAATAAAACTATTGAGAATGAGCTTACCAATTTACAATCATACATTCAAAATAATATCCATGCTCATTACTCACCTTTTGAGTTGCTAACCAATTGGCTCCCTGATGGGTCTTGGCTCAGACAGTTTTTCTTTTATACTCTAATTATTATTATTGTACTAATTGCAACCTGTTGTTTTATTCAATGTATTCCAAATTTATTCGCATTGTTTCATCCTGCTTCCCCCTCTCTTAATCCTCTACAATTGCGATACATTCATAAATCTTTGAATCCTCCATTTAAAATAAAAAACGAGGATATGTAGAGTTGTAATTGCAGGAATGTTCCAATCTTGGATGGCAAAACTCAGATAAAGAATGTTTCCAAGCAAATACAACGCAGGTAAACAAAGTCACTAATCTAAAAGAGGATTAGAGAGAGGAAGTAAACATATGTTAGACTTTAACTAGAGATAATTAATTACTGTGCTAAACAGTAACGAAAGTTAAGCAGTAACCAAAGTTAACCAATGATGGAGGATAATTAAAAATGTGTATAAATGCAAGACTAGACTCCAATAAAGATCATCATGATTCAGTTGTTCACGATCAAACAACTCGACTGCCTCGTCATTACAACAATGGATTGCACTTTAACACAGAAGTCTGTGTAATTACCATATATTGCCTACAACATTTAAACCACTATCATTCAGACATTCCTTTCTGACATAATTATTTCCCTACTATTTTGAAAACTGGAGTTAAAAATTAGTTCTTCTCCCAGGAAGAACAGAAAAGAGATGCTTTAGCAATTACTCACTATGTTTAAGCATAAGAAGCCAGAACCTTTATTCAAAACTTCCAAATCATGCACATCTGTTAGACAAACTCTTTAATTATCTTTACAGCAAACCACTTGTCACTTATTTAATTAAATCTCTTGTCACTGTGGTGATATACACTCCTTATCATCCCACACTCATCTTCACTGTGCAATACAGGTAGCTGCCTTGATGACATGTGATGGAATGTTTACAGATCAGGGGGGAGGAAGAAAATTTCTCCATTTCCAGGAATAAGAGGAATAGCTTTTGAGGCAAAGGTTTGAAAATATTCTAATTTTGTGGGTTGCATGCATGAGACTGAATGTCAGATTCTTTAGCCCAAAATGAAATTTAAGATATGTTTTAATATAAAGGAAAAAAACATCATAAAATCATGGAATCTGAAGCTTACGATTTAATATTAATATTGGGCTGCTATTTGTGGCGGATTTTTCCCATTTATCTCTGCTGGGATTGAAGTACAACTTTTCTCATAGTCATCCAGTAAGGCCATCTGCACGGCAGGTTAAGAGAAATAACTCAAGATTTTCAATGGACTATTCATTATGAGGCCTCAGAGATAGCTCCAGGAGAAGAAAAAAGGTAAACAGGCAGTGTCAATGCTCCATTGCAACTGGATCCGCTCTTTTGTCGGTGCCTTGTCAAGAACAGCATTATTTTGCAGCTCCCAGTACATTTTGCTTAAGCTTCACCAGTAAGCCTACGGCAAATGTTTGTAGGGCCGCCCATGTCACTGGCTTCATCCTGATTGTTGCAAAGATCCAGAAACTGAAGGGAGTACAGTAATTCCATGAGCTTTCTGATCCAAAATGAAATCTGATTGGTGTGCCTTAAGTGTTAATCAAAGAAAATAGCAACCTCCAAACATTTGAGTTCATCAGAGTTGTGTTTTCAAAGAAAGGTTTCCCCACTGCATCAACATTATGGAAAGTGTGTGTTCTGAATCGTAAAAGGCTAATATTCAGATATATCTAATAAAATGGATAGTATAGTTTCATTAACCTTTTAAATAATATTTGGATGTTTGAAAGCTGTTTACCAGATTAGTGAGTATTTCCAGCAAGCTGACTTGAAGAACGATTTTGATATGTTTTGGAGCATCCTTTATTTCTCAATTATTTTTTTTCTTTTTTTAATTTTAAAATGACCTTTATTTACAAAAGATTAAAAAGATATAAACATACAAATATACAGAAATAAAAAATAGTAAATGTACAAAGAGAACAGTAAACATAGTACTTTCTATTACATTTGATATTAGGTTTGATAGTTCATAATAAACAATAATAAATAATAATTGGCAAGTATTCCTTGTCTTTTATAGATAGCATATTAATTAATAAATAACACATGTTACTCTGCTATTATTATTGGATTATAACTGTATTATTTAATCAATAAAACCTTCATAATGTTTATGTAATAGAAGAGAAGCTTGAAACCATTGTTTTATACAGTACATTCAATATATACAACTATATATAATACAGTATGTTTCCTGGGTTCATTTATTCTGTACACTCTTTTTCTTGCGCTCTACCCAGCTGTACCATTTATCCCAGACTAGGTAATACTCTGAATCATCCTTTCCATTTAATTTGAGTGTGAGCCTCTCCATTTCAGCATATTCATATATATTTTGAATACTAATGTGTATCGGTGGTACGTTGGGCCTTTTCCAATATTGCGCCAAAGAAATTTGCGTCGCTGTTAGTAAATGGATGATCAGGTATCTCACTTTGGAAGGATAGTCCCCTTTAATCATCCCCAGGAGGAACAGTTCCGGTTTCCACTCCAATCTGCATTCAATAATTTCTTCTATTCATATTCTCATGGATAGAAGTCCAATATTTTTTAACCTCAGGGCATGTTCACTAAAGGTGGAAATAGGTACCGAATTTCTCTTTACATTTCCAACAGCTTGGGTTTGCTATTAGATATATTTTAGCTAATCTAGAGGGTGCCAGATGCCATCTAGATATCATTTTATATAGATTTTCCTTGTATAGTATTGATTTTGTTAATGTAAGAGTCCTTTGCCAGATTTCCTTCCAGTCATCCAGATCTATATTGTTATCAAAGTTTTTTGCCCAGGCTAGCATTGGTCCTTTCACAATTTCCTCAGCCAATTCGTATTCTAATAGGTAAATATATAATTTAGACATCATATTTTTCTCCAAGCCCAGGAGTATTTTGTCTAATTGAGTGTCTTTTATTTCAAATCCATATTCTTTTACATCCCTATTATATCTCATTTCTATTTGAAAGTAGGACCAATTGTCAAGAATTATTTCTTGGGTTTCTAACTCCTGAATCGATTTAAGCTTTCCCTCACTGTCTAGGATTTGGTAGTATTTTAGCTTTTTGCTAATATCCATCGTGCTAGGATGGAACATCGCCTCCATTGTTGAAAGCCACCTTGGAATTTTAGTGAAGTGGTTCCTTCTGATATCTGTCCAAATTTTAATCAGAGATTTACGTAGAGTGTGTCTGGAAAAATATGAATGGCTTTTATTGTTTGGGTTCCACAAAAATGCGTGCCACCCTATTTGTAAATCATGGCCTTCAAGTGTTATGATTCATTTCCCAATTTAATCCAATCCTTTATTCACACTAGTACCGTCACTTTGTAATAGCTCTCCCATGGGGGAAGTCCAAAGCCACCTCTGCTTTTATTGTCTTGTAGATAGATTTTTTTTATTCTCATTTTTTTCCCTGCCCAAATGAATTTCAATTACAATTCAATTCAATAACAATTTTGTCCAAGTCTTTAAATAATTTTTTATCCAATAATATTGGAATTGTTTGAAATAAATACAAAATTTTGGGTAGGACATTCATCTTGATCATTGCTGTTCTGCCTAATAATGAGATTTACATTTTACTCCAATTTTCCAGATCCTTTCCAATTTGTTGCAATAATTTAATATAGTTGTCCTCCCTCAGGGTTGATATTCTAGGTCTTAGCCAAATGCCTAAATACTCAATCTTAATTACAATTTGTAATCCCATTATTTCCTCTAGTTCTTTT